CCTTCTCGGAGATGAGACCCAACTCCGGGCGCGGGGGCGCCGGGTGGCTCGGCGACATGGCGCCCGAGCCGATCGGCGACCCGACGGGGGACCCGCCGGTTGAATCAGAGCGGATGAAGTCCGGCACCGCCACGTCGGGGGCGACTATTCCGGCGGGAGAAGAGACAAGGACAAAGAAGCGGAGAGGGGGCAAAGGAAACACCAAGAGACAGGGAAGGAAGGGGGAAAGGGCAGAAGAGGTCATAAGTGTCAGTGAGGGAAGTGGGAGCAAGGGCATGGGGCTCGAAGGCCCCGGACAAGTGTCAACCATGTCAACGCACGAGTCGTGGACCCATGCTGATTGCATGCCGGGCAGGCGGGTCCCTCGGGACAGGGGGGACCCGCTGGGGGAGGCCGAATCAGCCGCCCCGGTGCCGAAGCCATCTGCCCATGTGCCGGCAAGAAGGACGGAGCGACGGGGGAGTTGGCCATCGACCAGGCTGCCGGGGCCCAGGTGACCGGTGACAGGGGGGCGCCAAGGTCTGCCGCATGCCGGCCCAGGTCCCCCAGGGGCAGGGCAGCCACAGAGAAAGGTGCCTGTTGCAGCGGTGAAGACCGGAAGGGCGGGCCAAATAGAACATCCGCGGCAGGGGAACCAATGGGGCTGGCAGCGGCGGCGGTGGCGGCAGCGGCGGCGGCGGCAGCAGCGGCTGCCGCGGCTGCCGCAGCCGCAGCCGCAGCCGAGGTCGAGCCATTTCCAAGTGCCGAGCCATTTCCAAGTGCCGAGCCATTTCCAAGTGCCGAGCCATTTCCAAGCGTTCCGGCGGAGTGATGCGTATCCGACAATGTGGCCAAGAACCGCGGCGCGGGACCGCCCGGATGGTGGTGCACATGATGGTGCGGGTGGGGGTGCCCATGGTGGAAGCCGCCAGCGCTCGATGGGAGGGGCCCGCGCCCCAACGACAGGCCGGCCCCCGAGTCCTCGGGATCTACCAACGGCAGGAAGAGCCCGCCCCCGGGGGCCGGGCTGGCTCGCGCACTTCCCGGCGCAGGGGCCGCATCCGGGCTGGCACCACTGGTGGCCAGGCCGCTGGGTGCCAGTCTCGAGGACAGCGGCGACCAGGTGGCACTCCGGGGCCGGTGCTGCTGCGACCGGAAGTCATTGACCGACACGCTCCGCGGCAGAGAGAGGCCGCCACCGCCGGCAGCCCCGCCGGTGGCCGCGGCCACGGCCGCCACAGCAGCCGCACCGGCACCAGCACCAGGGCGCCGCACTCCCAGGAGGCCGACCCCGGTCGATTCGCCCACCCGCGAGCCATCTGCCATGTCCTCCTCCCAGAAGACAAGACCTGGAGCCAGGTCGGCGCGGCTGCCAGCTGACGGGCCATCGGGGGGGAAGAACCCGCCGGCTGCCGAGGCCGGCGGCGAGGGAGAGGACACCAACACAACCGGGCCACCGGCAGGCTCCAGGCCACCGAACACACACGGTGTCAAGGGCCGGTCAGCTGGCGGTTGCAATGACACCGAACGCGATAGGGCGGCCAGAATCGGCAAGCCGCCAGCCTGGGCCACCGGCGCCTCTGGCGATGGAGGCGATGGGGGAAGGGAATCCGGCAGGGAGGTCACAGGCACACCGGCCCCATCGTCATCCGTGGTTGGCGGCGAGACACCCGGTCGCGGGCCCGGCGGCCCAGTCGCAGGAGGGGGCACAGCCCCCTCACCGGCGCTCGACCCGGCGGCGAACGGCGCCTCCGGGGAGGAGCTCGCCTCTCGTGCCAGCTGCTCGGCATACAGATCGCCGAGGGTGGCCAATTGCTGCTGCAGAGCCAGGTCCGTCTTCAACATGGCTCGCAAGCCCGCCAGGGCATCCTGCTGCTGGTGCAGTCTCTTGCGCCCCTGCCGGGTGGCGACCTCCAGAGATTGGGCCTCGGTGCGCAAGGCGGCCGATTCGGCCACCGCGGCGGCCATTTCACGCTCCTGCGCCACGAGACGCTGGATCCCATTCAACGATCCGCGAGTCAGTGACACAGGCAGATGCGACACCGCCACGGCTGCCGGCGGGCCGGGCGGTGGGGAATCGCCACTCCCTGCCGCCAACTCGAGGCCAGGACCGACATCGGTCGGGGGAGTTGGCAAACGCAAAGCCGCCGCCAGACCGGGAGCCTGGTTGGCCAGACGCTCGGCCTGCCGCCAGAAGGCCGCCAGCTCGATGGCGCCCTGCTGCACGGTCTCCAGCCGCTGCTCCAGCTGTCGGAATTCCGCGAGGATCTGCCGCTCCTCGGTTTCATACCTCTGTCGGGCCAGATCCAGGCGACTTCGCTTTTCGCGCAGAGCCCGCAGGCGGGCCTTGCGCTTGGGTCGCGGGAACTCCGCGTACAATTGCGACAGCTGCGCATCGGCCAGACTCTGGGCTGCCTCCAATTGTTGGGTCTCGTCATGGTGCCGGGCCTGGGCGCTCTCCAACTCGGCCTCGATGTTGGCGCGCGCCTGTGCCCACATCCAATTCGGGGTGCAACATGAGAAAGGCACATCAGTCAGTGGGCAGACGAAAGGGAGGGGCGGGGGACAAGACCGAACAAATGGCGAGGACGGGAAGGGGAGCAACAACAAAGGCGAGCAGGAGACGCACGGCATGCAGCGCGAAGAGCTCCTCCCTCAAGGCAAGCACCGCGGCATGCGACGCCACATCGGCCGGCAGCTGATCGAAGACATGGTCGAAGGCCAAACTGCCGGCCACATCCAGCGCCGGCCCCTCGACGAGGGAGGCCGGCATGGACCCATCGCCGGGGGATGCCATCTCGATGGTGGCCGAGCCCGGCGCCGGAACATTGCCCGGCCCGGGGGAATAGGAAAAGGGCGAGGACATGTCCCCGGACACGGGACCGGAAGCCGCGATGGGGGTCTGGGAATCACCGGCCACCAGCGGCTGACCTGGGAGGGGCACATACGAAGGGCCCATCATGGCCAGGGGCACCTGGCAACATTGGCAACCCGCCGCGTGGCCGGCCCCAGGGACCGGCGAGCGCACCAGTGCCCCCGACTCCCCAAGGAAGGTAACCGATGCAGGTCCAAGACCACCGGGGTGTGGGGAGTTGGAATCGGACACGGTGGGTGCCGCCGGTGGGGTCGAGCCAACTGCCGGGTGATCGCCCGCAGCCGAGCCGGGGCTGCCGGTCACGTCGGTCAAGGCGGCGGCCGCGGACGGGCTCGGTGCCCCGGCGGCCGAAGCCATCGGGTTACTTGGCTCCGGGCCGCTGGGCGGATCGGCGGAAATGTACAACTCCAGCACATAAGACAGGAAGAAGAGAGCTGAGGAAAGAGCCAACACGGCACACGCCAAAAGGGCCCGGCCCAGCCAGCTGGCCGTCTGGACCATCGACAAGAGGTACACTCGGCTGATGCGCCGAAGGAGGCCCGTTCGGCGGGGCACCGGGTGCAACAGTCGCCCGAGCACCCCCTCCGGGATGGCAGCCTCGCACCCGGCGGCCTTGGGCAGTAACGCCGGCTCCTCGTGCACCTGGACGGTCTGATGCGCCGCTGGGTCGAAGCCACGCAGGTGCAGGACCGCCACGCGGTAAAAGCCGCCCTGGCCACAGGGAGACTCGGCCCCGCACAAGCACCAGTAACACGCGGTGGCCAGGTGCGCCGGGGACAGGAGCGGCCTGGTGGGCCGGCGGCCAAGCAAGCGCCCCAGGACGCTGCCCGTCGAGGACGAGGCTCCCGAACAGGTCGGAGGCCCGGCCGCCTGGTCGTCACTCGCCCAGGGGGAGGGGATGGCCCAGCTATCGGCAGCAGTTGGCTGACGACCGGCCGGATCATCATCCCCCGCGGCATGCGGGTCATACGCCACCTGCAGGGAGGATGAGAGCGATGTGAAGGACACATCGAGCGAGCTGTGAAAGCAGGGTGCACAGCAGGAGAAAAGCGAGGCCAGCGAAATTTGAAAGCTGCACGAGCAGGCCCGTCCGCCGGCCGGCTGGCAGCGTGATGAGGAGCGCCGACAACACAGACACACCGACAGCCGCCCAGGGGTCAGCATGTCGATGCGCGAGGGCAGTCGGAAGATTGCCTCGCCATTCAGCTTCACCGTGTAAGCGGGCTGACCGAGGCAAGGATGGAGGAAGGGGAGCGGGGGAGAGTGGTGAGGAAGATGCACTCCCGAGAGGAGCCAACACAAAGCCCCCATGGAGAAAGGGCGGGCAAGAGGCAGCGGATGGTGGCAGCGGATGGTGGCAGGGGGGCTGACGCACGGCTGGCCGGCTCTTACGCGGGGCAGGGAGGATGACGAACAGTCGGGCCGTGTCACCGCGCAGTGAGTGCAGCACAATGCGCGGGCTCGTAATGCGCCCGGCGGTAGACACACAGGGGCTCGGGACCGAGGCCATCGTGTCGGTCGGGCCCAGGCGCGGGATAAAGCCAGCTGGGCTGGCAGTCAGGCTGCCGCCTGGCCCAGCGGCAGTGTGGTCCTTGGTCCCGGTCAAGGAGGCCGCCTGGTGACACCCGGCCGGACAGGCAGCCGACCGATGGGGCGTCGCCAGGGGCCGCAAAAGGGCAATGACCAGCCCATACACCGGTCGAAGGCAGAGCGCTCGCAGGAGCTCCAGCCCCGGACCGGCCGCGGGCGCTGGGCTCGAATCCAAGCCCGTCACCAGGGCACCCGGGGGCCGAGCAAACACCCCCAAATACGACCCATCCAGCAGCACCCAGCGCAGGACATCGGTCGCCAAGAGCCGAGTGCCAGAACGAGCCGCCCGGAGGAAGCTCCCAAGCGAGAAGAACCACGACATGGATGTGGCCCATGCCCGGGGGGAGACCGCCCACACGGTTGGGGATCCAGACCCCGTGCCACACGTTCGCAGCAGCAGCAGGATGCCAGCCGGCCGGCGAGCTGGTGCCGGGGTGGCGGCCCCGACCGCCGACCAGGACAACTCCCGCCGCACGGCCGATGTCAACTCGGAGAATCGGTCGGTTGGTGCGCGCAACGGAACCGCACACACCCCGGGCAGGAGGCGATTCAACAGCCAGAGGGCCACTCGGCCCAGGGCGCAGGAGGCTGCAAAGTAGGCCACAAAGTCCGATACCCGGAGGATGGGGTCCGCCAAGAAGGGCGGGCCGTGCGAATGGGCATGCTGCATCAGGTGGTGCTCGCCCCCGGGGCCGGCGCCCCATCGGGACAGGATCATCCGCGGGAGGGTGGTCGTCAGCAGGGGAGTCGAGACGAAGATGGGCGAAGGGACCGGGGGAGCCGCGGGTCGCGAGGCATTCGGCCCTCCAACGCTCGAGGGGCAGTCTGGAGCCACATCCACCGAGCTCACCACGATGGAAGAGAAGGGCGCCGGCGCCAGGAGGCTGGCCAGGCGCAGGGCCATAGATGGTCCTGGCGACAGGGCAAGGGAGACCATACTGTCAGGGGGGCCGAGTGGGGGGCGGGGGGGGGGGGGGCGAAGAGTGATGGAGGGAGGGAGCCAGGTCCCCGAGGGGGAGGGGGGGGGGGGACTTTGCCTGGAAGACATACCCTGAACAAGAGTGGCGGCGGCGGCGGCGGCGGCCGGGTCAAATGGCGTGTGGATACCAGCCAGGATACCAGCTCCTGGGGCGTGGTTGACCGATGTGGCCACCGGGAAGAAGGAGAAGGTCGACACGAAGGCCAGGAATAAAAGTACAACAGTGCTCACCAGGTGGATCAGAGGCAGGGGGCGCCGGTTGGGGAGGAGCGCCGAGGCTGGCAGGGCGGTTGACCGCAGACGCCGGTCCAGCAACTTGGAAGTTGAAGCAAAGCGCACGGTGAAGGCGGCCAGACAGGATGCCAGAGGGGGGCTGACAATGGAGGGCAACTACAAGGGGCAGGGGGGGAGGGGGGGGGGACGAGTTGCAGAGCCGGTCAGAATTGGTGAAATGGGCAACTCCCCGCGGCAGGAAGGGAGGGAGGGCAGAGGACCCAATGGAGGGAGGGAAGGAGTAGAGGACACATGCGCCGGGAGACCGGGGAAGCCTTGCACACAGACGCCACCCATGCAAAGACGCATACGCACCACGGCCCACAGGAGGAAGATTGTCAGACAGGTGAGCAGGAGGTTGGCTCGGGCGTTGGAATTTCCAACCAGGTGCTGGAGACGCTCGGGGAGAGCCAGTGGCAGGGACATGGTGAAGACCGCTGCCAAGGCCCAAGCAATGGAAGCCATCCAGTCCAGCAGAGGGAGACCACCGCACAGGAGCTGCAGCAGGAAGAGGAAGGCCGACAACACGGCCGGCAGGCTGATGCAGTGAACCACGTAGAGGAGCAGCCGAAGAGCGTCGGTTGTCAAGGCAGCCAGCGCCCGGGCCTGCACCATGGCGCGGTGCACCGGCCTCGATGCCCCAGGGGGCGGGGGGAAGGATGGGGGAAAGCCACCGGCCCCGGCCGAAGCCGAATGCCCGGTGGCCGAAGGAGGTCGCCCCGGTCGCCGTAAGGCCCCGGGCATCGGCGAGGGCCGGGCGCCCCCGCGCAGGGGGAGCCGCCGCCGAGGGGGACCACTGGGCACGAGTGTCGGCGGACCCATGGGCCGGGGGGGGCCGACGGGCGTGGGTCCCTCCTCAACCAGACCGGGATCCTCGGGATCCGGGGGGCCACCAGGCGAGACCACGGGGAAGGAGGAAGAAAAGGTCCGAGCAAAGAACCGGCTGGTGTGGCCCCAGCAAAAGGAGAACAGCTGCCGGGCGGCCTTCAGTCGAGAGGCCGGCGAGATGGGGTGCGGATCACCGAGCCAGAAAGACTCGCCCTCGAGGGCTACCCAATCGGGGTGTGAGTGAGGGGACGATCCGGGCAAATGGGGGGCATATGGGCGAACGGGGGGCGAATGCGCGCCGGCTGGCGAGTGGGTGCACACCGTTGGTGGGCCCGGGGCTCGGGAACGGGGCGCTCGAGGGGACCTCCTCCGGGACTCGGCGCGGCTGCTCCGGCGTCAAGTGCGGGAAGGGCAGGACAATGCGGGTGCCGGCATCCGTGCCATCGAATGCCCAGCGCCCAGATGAGCCGAGGAAATCCTCATACGAGGGGGGGAGGCCGGAAGCTGGCACGCTGGAGGCGGGGAAGATGGATCCGAAGGGAAGATCAGCGATCCGCGGGGGGGGGAGAGACAGGGGGGGGGGGGGGGGAGAAAGAGAAAGAGAGAGCGAGGGGAGGGGGGATATCACAACCAGCGGGAGTACCTGGCAGCAGGATCCGAGGCTGGCGGCGGCGGGCCGGCCTCGGAAGGGGCTGTCGCGGCCGGAGAAGCCATGGCCGATTGCCTCGTCCCTGGGCCGGGACGCCCCTTGGGGGTGGGATCATCGGCAGACGCCGTGGCTGCCGGGGCTACCGCGGCCGGCTGCGGCGCGTGTCGTCGCCGGGGGTGGAGATCGCGCCGACCGGCCGGGACATTGGGACCGGGCAGCGTCGTCATGGAACGATCGCGGACCGGGCCATGGGCTGAAGCTGGGCGTGAAGGGAGGCGGCGCGGCTCTCCGGGATCAGAGATGGCCCCTGGGGACAGATGGTCCGCGTGAGCTCTCCCCTCGGCGGGGAGGTGGGATAGAAGGGTGAAGGGTAGGAGGGCGCTGGCGGGGGGCCGGAGCTTCGGCGCCGGGGTGGTTGGGGGCAGGGCGACAAAAATGGAAGAAGGGCGAGGGAGAGACAGAGAGAGAGAGAGAGAGGGGGCGCGTGTGGGAGGGGAGGCTGGAGTGATGGACTCGAGGGGGCAGGAGGGAGGGGGAGGGAAGAAGTGTTCCTGTGCGCCGGGCGGAGAGGGGCTCACGGAAGGCGGGGATGCGAGTCGGTGGGGAGGAGGGGGTGTTGGTGTGGGGGGCGGCTGTCGCACGGCCAGGCCAGGCTCCGAAAAGCGCCAGCCTCGAGGGGTGAGATCCAGGCAAAGACGCACCGACAGGAGGCGAGCGAGATGGATGGAAAGTGCGAGGGCCACCTTGGGCCAAAAACCAGCGTCCCCAGGACAAGCGGGGCGGCAGGGGGCTGCGGGAAGCTGCGCCGGATCCCAACTCACCGGACGTTTCTCGCCGGGGGGGGGGGGGAACGGCTAGCCGGCCCGGGTCGGAGGAGGGGGGGAAACTGCTCGGGGTCAGGGCCTCAGGGATGCGGGGGGGGGGCGGGCGGGGGGCCGAGGACCACGCCTTGGGAACACGCGGTGGTCGCTATTCCAGGGAACGCATCAAATACGACGGCTCCGTCGTCTCTCGCCTGCACCCGGGGCCGGCAACGGTGCCGCCAGAGCCTCGGGGTACGAGCGGAGATCCGCCGCAGACATGGGCCTGTCCTGCCCCC